TTCAAAACCCAACTCTCATGGCATTAGAAAGAGGATCATGAAAAACCTATAAAAAAATGGTTCATGAAATTTTAGTTCACTCATAAAGCTAAAGTCCGCTTGCTCTAGCTAAAAATGCCCACTGTGCTGTGTTGACTTCTCTTTTTCTCGGGCTCTGTTTCTCCTCAAATACTGGACAAAAGATGATGAAATTTTTATCAGAGATGTGCGGTAGAATGCTTGGTCCGTGGTAAAAGTTTTCAATGCGATGATTAAGTAGAACGGTTTTTATGAGCAAAATAGATGTCGTAACGGAATTACATTTTTTAGCCTTTTTTTTCTACTGCTCTACAAACTTTGAAAAATGCCCTAAAACGAAACATATTTAGGAAAAAAGTCTAATATAAAAGCTGTAGAGCATGAAAAGAGCATTCGAATCATCTCTTTACTTTCACTCAAAAATGATTAAATGAAAAGAAACAAGCAAAATGGCTCCGTGACGGAATTACATCATTTTTGTGCTTTCTTTTGCGGTGGATTTTATCTTTATATTTCTACCGGTAAAAAAGACTTCTATAAACTTGATCTGCACGGAGCCTTATACAGTCGAGTGCCCTCTATCAAACTAAGCAAAAAAGAACGGTGGAAGAAATGTTTTTTGATTTTCGTAGAATTGCTCCAAATAAAGTATCATTTCGAATTCGGCAAAAACCAGCAAAAACTTGTTTAGTGTACAAAATGCGTTTTTTAAGATTGTTTCGACAAAGTCAGTAGCGCATTTTGTAGAGAGTTTAATTCTTTATCCACTGATATACTTTCTGAAGCTTTTTAAAAAACTAAGTATGTCAGAAAATTGAAATAAAAAAACTTCTAAATTTTAAATTGGAATTTTCGATTTAAAAATTTCGTTCGTTTTAAAGTTGATATTCGTAATCAGTGCAAAAACCTGCGCCTAATGATGTGCTTTTAAGGCTGGTTTGAGAGAAAAAATATCGCTCAACCTACCGCAGCTGAGGGTGACAGTTACGCGTTTTAGCCGTATTATGACTCTATCCAACCATGCCAAACAAAGAGAAAAAGAAAATCTTGATGTAATTCTGAATTACGGGCATCTTACTATAATTACAATTTATTGTCGTAGAAAGGAAAAAAAAATACACTTTTTATGATGGAATGTCAAAAAAAGCATAGAAAGTGGCTTTCTAATAGTGAGTTGGATATTCTTTGCCTTTGGTACATTGGTGAAGACGTCTGCCGACCTGGACCACTGTTTCTGTAACACATGATCGATCAGAACTCAACTTTTGAGCAATAAAAATAGTATATTTGAAATCATGTTCAAAAACTGAGTCGACTGACATGGATTTTTATGATGGAATGTGAATAAAGAACATAGAAAGTGACTTTCTAATAGAGAGTTAGATATGCTTTGCCTTTGATACATTTGTGAAGACGCCTTTCGACCGAATCGGCTATTGTTTCTGTAACGTCTGATCCAGTCTTATACCAAATTTCTTCAATACTTTTTTTCAGATCTGTCAAGTTTCCTGCTGAATAGAAAGAAGATTTTTGAAAAAATTCTTTTAACAAAAGATTCCTTCTCTTCTCTACTATCGAAAAATAGTATTCTGACCTTTTCCAGTCGTTTGATGGATGGTGAAAAAAATTTTTGTTTTACCATACAGATAATTTTTGCCGAAAAAAATATAGATCTCCCTATTATTATAGCCATAAGTCTAGATACAAAAGGCCTAGGGATGTCATCATTCTACTGTAGACAGGAGAGCCGGATGAAACAACCAGGAGAGTGCCTAGCAGCTTCACAATTTTCAAAAAATAGCTTGGTCACTGGATTATGAGCAAAACATTGATCGTATAAATAATTTTTGCTGCCACTGTATCAGAGTTGTAACCGGTCCGGTCTGGCCCGGTTGAAATGATTGGACCGACCGGTCTAAAGAAATTTTTAGTCGTAAAACTCCCTCTAGTCCCCCTCAGGATTAACTCATAAAATGAATTTCACAATTTTCTAGATATACAATTTTTTTCAATAAAATATGTCGAGAGCAAGTATAAGTTCTTTCATCAAAGATAATCATATTGTTACAAAAAAACATCAACCTTATTTTCTTCAATTTATCTAAACTTTTTCATTTTTTTAATCGAAATTTTTTTCAACTCCCTAAAAAGCTCAATCAGAACAGTGTTAGCTGAAGAAAAACTTCTCAACTTATCTCATTAATGTTTTGTTAGAGACCAGATTTAAGGCGCGGGACTGCCGTTCAAAGAGAAATACTAGCTTTTTTTGCAAAATCTAAGTAAAAAAATTTAAGATTTGCAGATTACCAATTGAGTGGCAGGTAGATGCCTGTTTTTTCTCGAGAGAGAAACATCGCACATTCATCTTTGGGAAAACTTACAGATAAAAACGACTGTAGCATCATATTTCTTCTTGAGTATTAATAAAAACGTGAGTAATGAACACGCAGATGGGTGTTTTTCGAAGCCTCTCGTTTTAACTGGCAGTACATGACCTAACATCGGCCGGACCGGACCGATTTGAAAATTCTGGACCGGTTACAACTCTGCACTGTATAAATAAAACATTTGAACCGGATGAAGATAAAGTTCAAAAAAATAGAACTCAATTCGATCATTGTGACACACACTGTAATGTTAATATTAAAATATATTGCAGTGTGAACGACTTAAAAATTCGACTGATGGAATCTGGTCTTTATGATGCACACTGTTTGTTATGTTATTCCATGTCTTAAGAATGGAAAGACATAAAAGGATTTCTTATGAGCCATTTCAAATAAGTCGCGTCCGTAGTTGCACAACTGACTTTCTTAAAATTTAATTTCAATTATATGGGTGAAAACTAAACGTCATTGTGACTTGTTTGCCGCAAAGCGCGACTCCCTAGCTCAAATCATTACTGAATTATTGAATTTCTAAAAGAAATGGACACTTTTTTTGTCATAAAAGGATTTCTTATTGAAAGAACAGCTAAAGCTACGTTCAAATTATATGAACAAATGATTGATGAATGAGGCATGGGTGAGTCCGATGGGGTACCAAGTCTGAGTCCTTAAAAATACAAGTCGAGTTCGAGGCTCGAGTCCATTTTAAGTCTGGTAATCTTTTAGCTTCTTTTTCGACGAAGGTAGTTTATTTCTTTTTTTAATTTCCTGAGCCCCGGATAAATATTTGATTTTTCGAAAATAAGGTTACTTTGCATGTCCGTTTCCCGAACAATTCCTTGTGAAACAGAAGGTGTTGTTATTTCGCTTTTCATTTTTCTCTGTTCATTTGTGTTAAAAGTTGAATAGATCAAACTCGAAATACAAAAACTCGAGTCCGAGTCCGCCAGAAAATCTTCCAATCCGGGCTCGGACTCATCCATGCCTGTGATGAATATGGCTGAATTCATACAAAAAGCTAAAGATTATACATATCCTAAAGGTTTAACATCCAAACCATTAAGTGGTGATGATGAACATTATATTCCAATTACGCCTCAGCATATAAATTTAACAAAATGGATATTAAGGATCATATATCATATGTACGTGAATGTTCTTAATCTTTGTTTACCAGCGCCCCGAATTCACGACGCCATTTATTTCATAAGTTTCCAGATTTCCGAATAACTCTCGAACGCCAAAAGATATCAAGATGCGACGATGCAGTTTTGTCTACTGATCTCGAATATGTTTTTTAATTTTGCTTGCAACTACATGGAAAGTGAGATAGATGCAAAATAAATGAAATGACCTGAAGTTAGGGTGAGTGTGAAGTCTTCTTGACAATATTTTATCTCTGGATTTTTCCCCAAAGGTTTCATTACTATATGTTTACATGATTATGACAGACATTAACCACAGAAGTCGTAAATAGCTGTATTTCAGTAACTATTAAGAGCTAACATCTCAAATTCATACCATAGGTAGAAAAGAGCCTGGGCTACAGTTTAGTAAAAAGAAAACGTTTTCACCTTTGTTGTGTCAAGAGTTATTAGCATTTTATGAGAAAGAACTGAAACGCTTACATCTCACGAACCATCTAGGAAAAGAAACCTAAACTTTGTGGGTGATCAGCATTCGGTTAGAACAATGATCACACAAATTGAGAAGTCTCTAGCTATCATGATGGAGTAATGGTAAACGAAGGTTAAAGGGAAGGAAACAGAAAAGGAAAGTGTGAAAATAAAGATCAAAACGGCACACCGACTGATTGTAGAAAAAATAGTTCTCAAATTAAATGAGTTAAGTAACCAAGTCGAAAAAAGCGGGACAGTCTAGATCAAGTGAACAAGGAAGACAATTCTTTTCTATTTATATGTAGTGGAATATGTATCAAAAAATATCAAAAGTGTTTGAAAAAACTTGTACATCAATTATCTGTTATATAAACATCATAAAAGATCAGATCCAATATGGAAAAAATATTCCATCATAAATTCTAAACTTGATATGCACCAGTATCAGTATTTTATTGAAATACCGAAACTGAAGAATACTGATTTTTTTAACAGTTTTAACCAGCGTTCGTTTTTCACATTGAAGAGAATTTTTGAGACTCGAGTCTCGAACATGAAATGCAGTAAATTTAACTTTTCTAAAAATTATGTGCGAAAATTGAGTTTCTAGAAGCTGATCTTTCGAGCAGAAAACGGCTTTTTGTGTCTTTAACCCCGAAGATCGACTTGTATGAAGTGGGATTTACTACATTAAAATTAAAATCAAATTTGACATGGTTTTGTCTCTAGACTCAACTTTAGAAAACACTGTCTTCACAGTAAAAGAGCGAAAATTAGACAAAAAAATATTTAGTATTTCCAGTGCTTTTTTTGCCTAATTTTCGCTCTTTTACTGTGATAGTGTTTTCCAAAGTTGAGTCTAGAGACAAAACCATGTCAAATTCGATTTTCTAATTTTGATTTAGTAAGTCCAAAAATGTCATGAACAGGTAGCCTTAAGTGCTCTCTTCAAAATAAGAGTCAAGCGAGACCCTCATTTTCAGTGATTCAGAAATAGTATCGGGTTTCCTTGAAGCCCCAGGGCTGGTAACAGACGACTTCAGGTAGTCTTGAAGTTGCATAGAACATACGTAATCGATGACGCTGAATCACAACTCCGACATATATCTACGTATACCTCCGTCTGATTCAGGACTTCTCTGAAAGACAGGTCTGTCGATGAAAATGCATAAATGTTTGCTTGAGGAAATGTCGTTTTTCTCGTGTAATCGCTGAGCCAAGCCATGACAAAATAAATCATCAAAAATATGCCGAAACACTCACCTTGACCCCAACACAATATCATACAGATTATAATCAGACTTTTTGGAGCATGATAATCTCACATTCGAATTTTATCGATCTTATCAGATCGTTTAGATACTTTATTGTGGTAATCCAGAGTACATGCTTCCGTCTCACTCCAGACTTCTCTAAAAAACAGCTTTGTCAAGGAACATGCACGAATAAAACATATGTCAGGTAGATTTTTTCAAAATGTTTTTGTATTGGTATTATAATACCAGTAATTACTACATAACTTTCTATTTTTCTCCCTTCAGCAGGCTGTTTTACTTTTGAAGCAGATGGGGATGAAATATGAAAACTTCTGTCATACCTTTACCTTTGATATATGGCGCTAAATTTTTGCTTACATTTTCTTAGTGCTATAAATTAGTTATAGCTAGCATAAACATCCATCTTAGGCATTTTATCAAGGCATTCATCTCACTTTAAGTGCCTTTAAGTGTGTGCACCTCCGGGTTAAGTGTCACTTTAAGTGTTTAAGTTCTGGCGTGTCACTTAAGTGATTAAATATCACTTCAACCTTGAAGTAACGTCACCGAGTAACATCTCTATCTTATTCTTTCCTCGGTTTTCTCTCTCTTCTTTTTATACATAATTATGGTAATTTTACTTGAGAAGAATAAAATAGTTGAAGCAAAATCGATTGTTTAAAGTTGAACACGGGCAATTATCAAGGAAGAATACCAGTCAGGCATTAGCTGCCGGCCTAATAGTCCTAACACATGCATGTGCATTACAATATGTACGAGAAAAACGATCTCATACACATCTGGACTTCTTTTTATACAAGTGTTGGCTTCAAGTATTGATCAAGGCTAGCAGTTATTGCTCTTTGAATACTTGAATTTGTATCATCTAGAATCAAACACGTGAGGAATTTTATATACTAAAGATGAACAGTGTTATAAAAACAGAACTTCGTTAGATCACCTTGAAATGATGAATGACGTCGATGCTTGTTTGTGACTGATGGAATGGAGATATCTCCCGGTGGCGATATGTCTAAACAGTATAGTTTACCAACGGTTTAAATTTTATAAAGTTTTCTCAGCAATGCGAATATAATGTCCTACGAAGGAGAGTTTGAAATAAATTCAACAATGAAAATGAGTTACCTTTTAATGACGAAGTACTATATGTAGATGCAATCGAAGTAGACGGCGTATCGCCAATAGTCGATAGGTTCGGTGATTCACGTTGCGGTAACATGTGATTGGCATTTGATGAATATAATATTTTGTCTTCCCCCCCAAGTCCCCATGGGTAAAACATGGAAAATGCACAAAAAGCCACTAAATCAACGCCAACATAACGCATCTCCAACAGTCCGCGATTACAGATCGTCACGAAGTTGGTGCAAGCAGATAAAACATGTAAAATTTAGTTTCGGACATTTT